GGTCTCCAGTTGGGGATTTTGCGTGCGCACGCGTACAGCGCCAGAACGAATTAAGTCTGATGCACCAGCAAATGATAATTCAATTCTTGTTCTTCTTGTTGTTGCTGTTGCTGTGCTCCAGGGAATCTGCGAATCTGTAGATTCAATTTGTCCAACTGTTTGCCTCCACGAGCACACACGCACGCACGCATCAATGAGAGAGGACAACAATTTGGCAAGTTGGCAGTTCGATTTGCGGCCAAATGAGAAATCTCCGCGTGTCACGCAACCCAGGGAAGTGCCTCCGAGGGCCGGCCAGAAGAGCCGAAAGATGTCAAAGTGTTGCCAGCCTTGGTATTCTGGCAAATCATTGCCGTAATCTCTCAGCTGCTGTCAGAAGGCAACCGATTGACTGAGACAAACATACATTGCCCAATTGTTAAGCAATTTATGCAAAAAACCAACCCCCAACCCCCGAACCCCCCCCCCCAACCAGCATATCCAACCCTTGCTCCTTTCTTTCCACGTTTTCGGCTGTCAAATTTTGGCAAATCACGATGACGTATCGCTAAACCACGTTTGACATTACCGTTTTTTGTTATCAGCCCAAAACCCGACCAAAAAGGGTTGCATACTAATTTTCCCTAAAGAAAAATAAGGGTGTGGCGGTGGTGGGGGGGTAGTCGATTTCCTGCCTGGCGAGAGAGATAAAGATGCGTGTGCACTGATTGACTCAACGATTTGAAGGCTGCCTTCTTCGAAGGGCCATCTCTTTTGTCACCATCCAACAAGATACACAAACTTATTTCATTGTCTTCCAAGTACTTTATCTAAGTACATTCAAATGCCGACAGAGCCCCATTTGTAAGGCCAAGAATCTTCCAGTTTCGCTTCTTTTGCCCCACTAAATGTTTACAATTGGGCCTTCGGGGGCCCCCATTTAACGATTCCATGGCCCGCCTAGTGTTTATTTGTGCATCTAAACATTTTTAATGGCAAATCTCAAGATCCATGATATGTCGAACAGCCCCCCGCCCCCCGCCTAGGACCAGCCCCAGCCCGCGTGGGTGGTGCATTCACTCTCTCTCTCTCTCTCTTTCTCGATTTTGATTTTAATGATACACGGGTCAAAGTATTTTTTGAGTTATTGCGCATAGAGCAGTGCGTAATAAAAGTCTGCAGCCAGGTCCAGGTCCCAGGTCCAGGTCCATGCTCCTCTGAAGTTTTTATTGTTCCTCTGACGATTTAATTAAATTTCTAAGGCCCAGACCAAACGCGTGCCGCCAGTCGATGGATGGATTCTGTTAGTCAGTTGGCCATTTGCTGGGCGACTTTTATTTGTTTGTTTAAGGCGCGTCGTCATCTGCCCTGCCCCCCTGCCCCCCTGCCCCCCTGCCCTGGTCTGCTGGTTCCTTCGCTCCCCAATACTAATCCCATTTCGAGTCATAGATTCCTGTCTTTAGACGTTTTCACACTTCCCCCCCCCCCCCCCCCCCCCTGCTCGTTTTTAGTGCCAAATCAAAAGTTTTGCAAATGTTTATGCACATTCTTTTGGTGACCGCAAGTCTTTGGCAATTTGTTTGTTTGTTGTTTGCCATTTTGCAGGCTCATGGGGGGAGGAGGAAGGTAGTCTATATATCTATTTAGATAAGATATATCTTGTAGAGCAGAAAAATATAACAGTTTTGATGCTATGAAGAGGGAATAGGTGTCTAGATGATGCAGATACTCAATGTATTCCGAAATATTAGATCTGTGACGCGGCAGTCAATGGATCCGGTACCATTTCCGGCGCTTGCGTTCATATAATTAGGTTTAAAATATGTTATATAGGTAATATATAGCCTATATATATGTATATACTGGGTATTGGGCATAGAAGTAGAGCCGCTGCCCTTGCCGCGTCTCTCAAAGTAACAAAAGGGATGTATCGATGTATCTTAAGCATATTTAAGTACTAATCGTAAGAACACCAAAGAGTTCTCTGCTCCCAATCCTCTTTAATCTTTGCCCTACAAATTTTTACTCCTAACCTACTATACCCCCATCCTCCACGCAGTCCAATCCATACCATTTAACCCACTTATACCATTACGATATCAGCCTCGTTTGTCTCGCTCTGCCCTCTATGTAGCACATATGCCATATTCAGAGAGCCACACACGTTTCTTCATTAAATTCCACGTGTTTATTTGTTTAAACTAACCTTTTACGAGGCAGTGGCGCTACAGCTAGCCGCAGACGCACACGCACACGGACACACAGATACAGATACAGATACAGACCCACACCCTGGCAGCTTAGGTGCCGCTCGGGGTTATCTATCACATCATCACACCTAGACCCCGTACGGACCCCGCATAGACCCCGAACCGGGCAGAGCTGTCAGCTAATTGAATTTAATTGGTGCGAACAAAAATTTACACAAAATATAAACAAAAAACTTTCTGATTCTTCTCGTTGTTGGTTTTTTTTTTGTTTTTTGTGTAGCATAATTTTATGAGTTGTTTATTTCGTTTAAACAAGAATAACCTTAACTTGTTATGGCACATTTTTATTGTCGCTTGTTTATGAATAAAAACAGAACCGAACCGAACCGAACCGAATACAGGACGCTGCAGCGAAAGGCTTTTTTGTTGTCCAAAATAATTGTGGTCAGACATATACACGATCTGGGCGTTAAAAATCTATAAACGAATGTCGGGCTCTGCACGATGCTGCCTGAGAATAGCGTATACCCTTCAGGGAGAGGCTGGGTACATAGGAAAGGTGACTGCGACCTCCTTTAGACCTCGATATTATACCATTTCGGGGTACCTTCCCTATGAAGAGGTCTCCTTGCAAGCCTTCAAAGGGTATACCATAGTCCCCAACCATTTCTACCCATTATTCTCTGGCCAAGTTCTCCCACAAACTTCTTGCTGGCGCCACTTGGCCATCGGAGAGTCAATGATCGTCATCTGTAAATCATTTTGTGTGACAACCCGCTGACAATTGAACGAGAACGATCTCCCTGTCGGAGCGGACAGCTCAATTCGGATTGTGGGACTGGGGCTGGGACTGGGACTGGGACTCTAACGAGGTGAAGAGCCATCCAGGCCTTAACGATGTTCGTGGAACTTATGGGTTCATACATAAAGTCGCGTGGCTTATTTAAAATTAACAAAGCAATAAAAATGCAAACTCAAGGCGAGCACTGGTATAACAATGGGGGGAGAGTGCGGAGGAGGAGCGAGACTGAGGCCCGGGATAGCCTCCAGTTAGCCAAGTTCTTTGTGAGGCTGTGAAGCAGCTGTGGGACCAAGTTGGGCCAGGGCAAACCCTCAGAGCCGCATTCATACTAATGTCTTTGGACAAAAACTAAGCCACTTTTTGTCAGGCATCTTTCCAAGGAAATCCTTATCGTCCAGGTAGACCGGCCAAGCAGCTTATCATATCTGGGAGTCGAGAGACCCAATCCCTGACCAACATGCATTTCCTTATCGCCAACATCGCGCTGCTGACCTGGCCAAAACAATGCAACGCGCAATCAGCGACACTTCATCGACCAACGAAAAACAAAAAAAAAACGAAGAAAAAACGAAGAAAAATCTGTGGCCAGCAGCAAATAAACAAAAGGACACAGCGCGTAATGAGGGCGAAAATATCTTTATTTAAAGAGGCAACACAGTGGAGCCTTCGCCTTCCATGGAAGCAGCCAGTCGAAGTCGAAGTCTGCTGCAAGCAACATATTTGTCATTTGCAGGAGTCGGAGGATGCAGCAGCTGGGGCCTGGGGCAGGGGCCTGGGGCCTCTGGCAAGCGATAGCTTTGGGGGCAATAATCATGAACAGATCTTGTAGACGCCGCCATGGACCAAATGCTCCTTAATTAGATGAGGCGACAAGGCAAAAGCCAGGAGTGGAGTGCCTCTGCAACAGCCTCTGAAACAGCCTCAGCCTAGGAGCACTTCGAACACGATCAACGATATTTCAGTTGGGTTACCCTTGGCTTCTGTTTTGGCTTATATTATGGAACAGTGGCCAAAAACAATGCCGTGTTTACAACTTGTACGCTATGCGATTGGCATGCCCAAGCCCAAGCCCATGCCCATGCCCTTTAGGGCCTTGAGGGCCTTGAGGGCCTCTGGGAAGTGAGCTGTGGATGGCCAGGTCTCGACTTCTGCCACTAATGGCATATTTTGCATTCCAATAAGGCATTGCGCCAATTGCAAATAATTTTCCGAGTGTATAGTTTGCTTAATAAGATCACGATTCCCGGATAAGCCGCATAGATAGCAGCTAGAACTGCCTGGCTCTGCCAGGGGATAAGTGGTTAGGGCAAGTGTGGGAGACACTCACAAAAGGTCCAGGTCCCCGGGCAGCATATTCAGATCCAGAGATAACGAGGGGGAAGACCCTGAAGGAGGCCCAAGAAGGACAGCTTCCCAAGATATGTGTGACTCCCATATCGCCTTGGTCTTTGCCTCTGTAGAGCAACCCAAAGTCGGCTACTCCCCGGGGTTGCTTGGCCAGAAACAATAACTTAATTTAGTTGTCTTACATCGTGTCGTTGTCGTCGCCAGTCGAGGCAGCCGGGCCAGACACCCCCGCCAATGGACGGAGCCCCGCGCTCCCTTCGGTGGCAACCTTTTGCATGGTGGTATGTCAGCTATTCGGTGAACAGACGACACAGGCACCCACCGGGCGAGTACGCATATGGCAGGGAGCCCGAGGATCGGCCCGGCCCGGCCCGGCCCGGAGAGTGGCCTGCCTCGCGTATGTAGCGCCAATTACACAAAACCCAGTTGCGCAGTCGCAACTGCGGCTTTGGCGAGAGACAAAATCTGGAAATCTGCAAAGCAAACCGAACCGAACTGAACGGCAAAAAACGCCACCGCGAAATGCCATTTGACCGAGATGGGTCCGGGATGATAAAGCGAGCGGTGCGCAGACGTGGGCGCCAAACAATTCAATGCAAAGAGAGGCAATTAAAGCCCCCAGAGAGAGATGGCTACTGCGCAATGCGCAAGGACCAGGCACATCGAATTAATTTGCGGTGCATTTTAGTTTACAACTTTGTAATTAATTTGCAAAAAGGGACAGCCACAGCGACAGCGACAGACAGAGACCCATTGGGTGACATTTGGAACACCGTTGGACCCTCCACCTCCTCCTCCCCCCCATCATTGTGACATTTGCGTGGCTGGGGCCGAGGCTGATGATGTCTTCATGGGCCTCAGAGCAGGCGGTACTTGATGGCACGCAGCATGGGGAAGCGATCGGTGGTGCACTGGCCGCGGAAGTCGTCCTGCGTCAGATCGAAGAAGGCCACGCCGCCCAGGTTCTTGGAGCGCACATAGGAGGCCTTGCTGGAGGCCGAGTCGGGATCGTCGTAGCTGATCCACAGGCCGTGCTCGCCGTTGGAGTCGGCGGCACGGAAGGCGTAGCTACCGTAGCGCTTGGTGGGGTCCAGCACGCGGCGCACAGGAGCGTCGGCTCCTTTGGCATTCGCATTGCTGGGATTCGGCATCAGTTGACAGATCTCGGCCCAGTTCAGCATTCCCTCCTGCTTGCTCTGGCGTCCGGCAGGTGCGGCCCCCTCTGCGGCGGCCACCACAGGCATGCCCGAGTCCCCGGAGCCGGTGCTGAGCTTCCAGGCCCTGCCGTAGGCGGCAATGCCGATGTTCAGCTTGTGGGCGGGCACGCGCTGCAGCAGCCAGTGCTCCAGCTGGTAGTTGACGTTGTAGTGGCCCAGACGGTTCTGTCCGAAGGCCTCGTACAGGGGGGCGGAGAAGTCGGCCTCCTCGGGATTGCGCTGGGGGGTGAGGAAATCAAAGGTTCCCAGGTTGATGAAGTCCAAGCTGGGTTCAATGGCAGGGGCGTCGTAGTACCCTGGAAAGAGGCACAGATATTCGTTTAAAAGGGGCTTCTTGGGGGGTCAGCTGGGGGGCCACTTACAGCTGGAGTTGACATTCGGCAAGACGGTGAGACTCAACAGAAGATTGTTGGCCTTGAAGGCGCTGCTCAGATCCTTGATCAGAGCCGTCAACTGTCCCTTGTGGGTCTCCGAATCCTCGTCCACAATGTAGTCGCCGGTGAAGAACTTCTTGAAGCTCTTCCAGGCGGAGCCCACGTCCCCGTGGACCTTGCGCGGCTTGTTGCGGGGCAGCTGAAGGGCCAGATCGAGGCCATCAAAGTTGAAGCGACGCACCACATCGCGAGCGGACTCGATGAAGCGCCTGTGACCCTGCTGTCCCGACTCCAAGAGCTTGATGTATTGATTACCCTCGTTCTGGTCGGCGTCGCCGCCCACACTCAGCAGGAACTTGATGTGCGGATAGCGGTCCTTGAGCGCCGTGAACTGGGCCAAGTGTCGCTGCTCGAAGTCCAGCCGCTTGTTGATGCTCTGCAGCTCCGAGTTATCCGCATTGACGCCCGCATAGCCGTAGATGATATGAGTGCAAAACTGCAGTGCCAGCTCCATATCCGTCATCGTAAATTGAGCCAGGCCTGGGCCACAGAAAGGGGAACGGAGAGCGGGCAAGAGGCAGGTTTAAATTACGGGGAACTGGAAAGTCTCACACGACACTTACCCTGACGCTGGAAGCCCTGCGAGTCATAGAAGCACACCAGATTAGGAGCTCCGCTCACCGCTGAAAACGATGCCAAGAGCATCACACTCAGCCCCAGGCCGAGCCACAGAGAGTACATCATCGTGTAGACCTCGATAGAGAGAGAGATTCACAAAGAGAACGGAATGGAGTGCGTAGGCAGGTGATGTGAGATGTGAGATGTGATGTGTCCGTCTCTGGCGAGATGCGAAACAAAACTGAATTCGAATGGCACTGCCACTGGCACTGGCCCGTGGTCGGAGCTTTTCTAGAGTCGAACCGAACAATAGGCGGACACGACACGTAATTCGTGGGGCTTATTATCAAGAAATCAAGTGACAGCTGACACCGCCAGTTCAATGAGATCACTCCGGCTCTGGTTCCCGGGAAATTTACACAGCCGCGTTTACTTCCAGTTTACTCGAGAGATAATGCCCAGCGACTCGGCAAATCTTCAGCAATTTATGGCGGGGGGGGTAGTCACTAGCAAGGCCTCTGCAAATATTTTGCCCAAAATTTAGTTCACAGTTTACCGAGATACGTCATTACAAGGTTAATAATGAAAGAAAGCTTGGAAATTTGATCAGAAAAAAGTGCACAGATTTGAATTTTGAAAACGAAAACTGTGTATCGTTCACAGCTGCCTAAAAATCACTGGAAAAGGCCTCTAGATTTGTCTGTTTAGAGCCCACTTCAATCTACGAACAGTGTTGGGTAAATATTTATTTCGAGTACTAAAATATCTCCACCGAAAAGCATTTACAAACGGTATTTGACGGCGCGCAGCAGCGGATACTTGTCGCCAGTGCACTGTCCGCGGAAATCGTCGTAGCTCAGGTCGAACAGGGCCACGCCCCCGAGGTTCTTGACCCGCGCATAGGCCGCCTTGTTGGAGGCGCCGTCGGGATCGTCGTAGCTCACCCAGAGGCCCTCGGTGACGGCCCCGTCGACGGGACGAAAGGCGTAGGTGCCGAAGCGTTTCGTGGGATCGGTGACACGGCGCAGCGGGGAGTCGTTGCCCTTGAGGTACTGGTTCTGGGGATTCGTCAGCTTGCCACAGATCTCCGCGTAGCTGAGGAGACCCGGCTTCTGGGACTGGGAGCCCTCCTTGGCGGGACCATCGGTGTGCGGCACCACTGGGACACCGTCCAGACCCGATTCGGGCGTCAGTTTCCAGGCATTGCCGTAGGTGGAGACGCCCAGGTTCAGTTTGCTGGAGGGGAAGCCCTGCTGGAGCCAGTAGTTCACCTGGAAATCGGCATTGTAGTGGGCCAGACGATCCTTCGACTCTGGATGGTAGATGGGCCCCGTGAAGTCGGCCTCCTCGGGATTGCGGGCGGGCGTGATGAAATCAAAGGCGGCCAGGTTCACAAAGTCCACCAGGCCGTTCAGGGCGGGTATATCAAAGTACCCTAAAGGAGAGAGGATTGCAGATATATCTATATTCTAGAGAGAAACCCATCTGGTACTCACATGTGGAGTTCACGTTGGGCAGGACCGTCAGGCTGAGCAGCAGGCCATCGGGCCGGAGCGAGTCCTTGACATCCCGCACAAAGGCCGTGAACTGCTCCTTGTGCAGAGCGGCCTGGGGATCCACGACAAAGTCGCCGGTGAACAGTTTCTTGATGCTCTTCCAGGCGGAGCCCACGTCCCCGTGCACCTTCCGCGGCTTGTTCCTGGGGAACTGGTAGGCCAGATCCAGGCCATCGAAGCCGTAGTTCTTCACCAGCGAAAAGGCCGACTGGATGAAGCCCACCTGGCGCACCTTCTCGCCCTCCAGCAGCTCCACGTACTTGTTGGGGTGCTCCACATCGATGTCGCGATCGCCGCCCACACTCAGCAGCACCTTCAGGTGGGGATACTTGCGCTTGAGCGAGGTCACCTCGGAGTACTGGTGCTTGTAGATGTCCAGGTTCTCGTTGAGGCTGTGCGCCTGGTAGTTGTCCGCCCGCAGGCCCGCATAGCCGTACACCAGATGCGTGCAGAACTGCAGGGCGATCTCCAGGTCGGGATTGAGCAGCTTGCCCAGGCCTGAAAGGCGAATTTAATATTCATAAGATGTACGACAAATTGCTTGGAATGACAAATAATCGTCAGCTCTAGCTTGGAGAGCGACACTCGACATCGCTCTCCCTCTCCGCATTGAGCCCCAGCCCAGCCCACCCCACTCCACCCCCCCGTGTGGCTTGTCATCTCCATTGTCTCGCTGTTTTTTCAGTGGCTTAATTGAACGCCAACAGAGTGTGAGCCCAGCGAGCGGTTCATTGTGGCTCTGCTCGCTTGGGTGCGTGGCACAGTGGCGCAGAGGCCATCAATGGGGGAAACTCAAACACTTTGATATAGCTCTATAGCTCTTCCAAGTCCCAATTAATGTAGTATCTCGTTTTGCAACCACTGTTCAACGCTGCTGAGTCACTTGCTGCTCTGCCTGCCACTTGTTTCAATCTCTGCAGGCCGCAAGTCGCTGGGGCAGTTGTCGTGTTGCTCTCGCTGTGTGTTGTACGCTCTGGTTTTCATTTCAAAACAGATCAAACAGAGATCTCCGAGTGAATCATTTTTTGGCCTATCATCCAATAATTACCTCTGATTACGGCCTGGTAAGTGAGTAATCCACCTGCAATTAGCTTTCAAGAAGTGCAACCGTCTACGGTCTCTGCTCTGCGGGAGAGCCTTCTCTCTCTCTCGTCGCGGAGTCTCTCTCTTTGGACGAAAAACTTGTCCGATAAGCCACTGACCTCCCCCGGACACAGTGGGCCCCCGTTTCAGTGGCACAGCTCTCTCTCTCTATCTCTTTCTGGCTGTTCGAATTGAATTGAATTAATTCCCAGTTTTGTTTTGAATACACAAATTGTTATGTAACTCGTTTAGCGGGTATTTCATATATTTCTAGGAATTTCTAGAGGTGTGTGTGAGTTTGGCACATGCTAATCAAAGTGTTTAAGTGTTTGTTGTGCTAGTTTTAGAGGCTGACTAAGGGCTTGGGCTTCCAGAGAACTATCTTCTGTAGAGGAATGTACATTCTAGAAGGGGTAGGGGGCACAAGGAACACCTAAACTACTTAATTTCCAACACTTTTAATTGAAATATGCTCCCAACTAAGCCGAAATGTACTTCCCTGTGACCATTTATAGCCCAGCCTTGGAGAATCTTTGATCTCTGCTCCCCCCCAGGGAGTGCTCCCCACCCGGCAGACCCCCCCTCAGATCCTCTTACCTTCTCTCACATAACTGGAGGAGTCATAGTAGCAGACCAGATTGGAGGCCGCCTCAGTGCCAGCCACAAGGAGGCACGCGACAGACGAGAGCCACAACAACAGCTTCATTACACAACCGCAGCGAAGATCAAATGAAATCGAACTAAAGTCGCAGCTGAAAATGAAACTGAAATGAAAACAGAAATAGAAACCGAAATCGAAATCGAATGACAGCACGAAAAGCTTAAGCTGGAGCTTTGCTTGGAGCCACACAGAGAGGGAGAGAGAGGAGGAGAGAGAGGGGGAGAGCCGAGTCGAGTACAAGTACGATCCAAGTTTTAGTTTTGTTTACGGAGACGGCGACGGCGACTGAGGGTCAAGTGTCTGAGGCCATTCGCAATCGAAAAAAAAACCCCACACTTTGCTGATTAGAATTTACAAAATTTATTTCGCCATCGTTAGCTCCCCTCCCGGCCCCCTTTCAGCCCATGAAATACTTAATAGAACGTACTATGGGATACTTCTGGCCCGTGCAGAGGCCCCGGAAGTCGTCGCAGCCCAGATCGAAGACGGCCATGCCGCCGAGTCCCCGGCTCTTGGCGTAGGCCGCCTTGATGCCCGCAAAGTCGGGATCGTCGTAGCTCAGCCACAGGCCGTGATCGCCGTTCTCGTCGGCCGGACGCAGAGCGTAGTTGCCGTACTTCTGGCTCAAATCCGTGACCTTGCGCAGGGGCGCCGCGGCCCCCCTGTACAGGGCCGTGGAGTTCTGGACCAGCTTCGAGCAGATCTCCGGCCAACTGAGCAGGCCCTCGGCACTGGCGATCTGCAGGCCACCGGGCGCTGGTCCGTACGTCTCCGGCACCACGGGCAGGCCACTCAGGCCGGAGTTCTTGGTCAGCTGCCAGGCACGGCCGTAGCTGGCGATGCCCAGGTTCAGTTTGTGGGCAGGACAGTGGTTGTGCAGCCAGTAGTTGACCTGAAACTCGACGTTCAGGTGGGGCAGGCGGTTCTGTTCGTCCGGCAGATGGAGCGGGGCCGTGTAGTCGGCCTCCTCGGGATTGCGCAGCGGCGTGAGGAAGTCGAAGGCCGCCAGATTGATGTAGTCCAGCTGGGGATGCAGCTTGGGGACATCGAAGTACCCTAAACGAAAGGATTTCAGTGCTACGCCCATTTCCATGGCCTGCTCTCTGTACTTACAAGTGGAGTTCACGTTCGGTAGAACCGTGAGGGTCAGCATGAGGTTGGCATTGCTGAAGGCCTGGTGCAGGTTGCCCACCAGATCCGTGAACTGGGCCCTGTGCTGCTCCGCCTGGGGGTCCACGACAAAGTCGCCGGTGAAGAGCTTCTTGAACTGCTTCCAGTAGCCGCCAATGGAGCCGTGCACCTTCCGGGGCTTATTCCGCGGCAGCTGGAAGGCCAGATCGAGGCCGTCGAAGCCATTCCGCTTCAGCAGGAACATGCTGCTGTCTATGAAGTTCTGCTGGCTGGTGCGATTCGCCTCCAGCAGCTCCACATACTTGTTGGGATGAGTCTCGTCCACGTCGTGGTCCCCGCCCACACTCAGCAGGATCTTCAGCTGGGGGAACCTCGCGTGCAGGCCCGTTATGTCCTTGTAGTGGAACATGTCCAGGTCCACGTTGAGGCTGAAGAGCTCGTTGGTGCCGGGCTTGAGGCCCGCATAGCCGTACACCAGATGCGTGCAGAACTGCAGGGCCAGCTCCAGGTCGTTGGGCGCCAGCTTGGCCAGGCCCTGGCGCAGATACGAGGCCGAGTCATAGTAGCAGATCAGATTGCTGGCGGCCCGGGTCAGATCTGTGAGGCCGAGAAGCCCCACTAAACAGAGCAAAAGTAGTCGCATTCTCCGTCGAAATCTAGAAGTACGTCCTGACTTTGGGAGTGAATATTAACGACTGTCTGAGGGGCAGCGACTCTCGGAGCTTTTGAGCTGCCAAGATGGGGGCTTATCGCGGTTTCCGAGAGTCGCCAGACGATGAGGCCGCTATCAGGTTTTCAGGTATTACGTAGTTTACGCCGTCATTTTTTTTGCAGTAAACAAATTTCTAGAATTATGCTGTGACTCAGTCGGGGGTGGGGGCACATTTCGAGGTACTTTTCAAGCCCTCTAAAGAGGGTTTTGGTTGGGGTCTGTAAAGGGAAAGATGAACAGGAAATAGAGAGTTGTTGCTGGATGGATATTCCCTAAAACCCTTGGTTCTGTTCATTCGTTCTTTCTTTCGAGCTCTTTCTAAACCATTTGGGGGGACTTTCACTGTGCCGGCCCCTGGCTGATCTTTAAGATCTTTAGACGGGCACAGGCAACCTGCTGGGCAGATCCACGAAAAGGTTCGCCCAACCAGCAGCTGTCTGTGGAGGCACTTCACATCAAAAATCAATTGAAGCATTAAATACCCAAAACAAAGGCCCGAAAGCCGCACAAGGACCTCGAACGACAGCTAATGACAACAGTCACAACAATGAGGGGGTGGGGGGGATGGTTAGGATGTTGCAGGATGGCGTATGTGACACAGCCAATTATACAAAGGACACGGAGAGAGTCCTGCAAAAGAATGCGAAATAATCCTCACACGCTGCTTAGCGCTGACAATGGGGCGGCACAGAGGCGGAACGGGGCGGGGCGGGGTAAGGGCGTAGTCGTGTTGAGAGGCAGCATTATCCTCCTCAATGTCCTCCGATTTCGAGTGTGTGCTTTGTATCTGTATCTGTGGCTCTCGTTATTCTTTGATTTATATCAACGAGCCGCAGCGTCAGGCATTGTCTACTCACACTCACACTCACACCCTCCCCCTCCCGCTCTCTCGCCTTGTGGCACAGCTAAAATAGGTCAAGCCTGGTCCCCCACCCTTCCCTCCCCCCTTTGGTTTCTGTTTGCCGTCCATTTCGTTAGTTTCCGTCAGTCATCAATCAGTCAATCAATGCGGGGCAAATAGCAACCAATGCCAAATAGTTAAATGCGTGAAACGAGGGGATTGTATTACATTTATGATCTGCACTGTTTGACTTTCATTTATTTAATGGGAATATATATTTTTGGGGGGGGATGGTTAATGGATTGGGCTCTATAAAAGTCGCGAAAGAATGCTTCGACGTGCCTCAATCTTTATCTGTGGCCGCTCTGGCCTCCCTCCACCCCCTCGTAATTCAAGGACTTGCCGGGAACCCTTTTCATATATAAATAATCTTAATGGCTCTCCAGCTTAGGTATTCCTTTTGCCTTTTTGCTTGAAAACTTGAAATTGTTTTCCATTATTCGACATTCTTTCCATTTCTCAGCTTTGTGGCTCGTTTAATTAAGTCCAATAATAATTTAAATAAATACCTTTACCAATTTAGGGAGGGAGCCCACCCCTCCCCCCCCCCCCCCCCCCGGGGGCTGTGTATCACCTGGCCAGCCCCTCATTATCTGCCAGGGAAGCAGGTGCAGAAAACCGCAGAAAACATTTGCCTTATTTCGTATTTCTAATTAGACAGACGCCCGCCCGAGTTTTCTGCGTTTTCTGTAACCAGGCAGACAATGAAATGTCGGCAGCACAAAAGTACAAAAGAAAATTCAATTTTCACAAAACAATTGCCATTAGGTGAAGGCCTTCCTTCGGGCGGTGGAGGGCGGAGCCGGACGGAGTGCTGCTGCCCAATTGATGTGCCTAATCAGTTTATCTAAGGCGCTCTTTTTTTTTCGCCAGGGGTGGCTGGCCAAAGCCCAGGGAAATTCATCATTGTCAAATGTGCGGCTTGACATTTTTCCAGGGGGGGAGGGGGGTCTGGGAGAGCGGGGTGGTGGGGCAGGGAAAAATGTAAACTTTTTTGAGGCAACTTTTAGCTTTTTTTTTTCTTGTTGTTATTTTTGGGGGTTGCCTTTGGCGGGCAATATAATTAGAAATTCATAATGAATTTTATTTGCTTTGGCCACAGAGCCAAAAAAAAAAGGCGACGCGACGCGACGCTTCCTTGTCCAAATGTATTTTTTCGGTAATATTGAGGCGCATTTTTGTGCAAATAAAATTAAAGCACCCCCCGGTTGTAGCCACCCCCCACCACAGAGGCATATCAAATTATCAGCCAAGGGCTGGGCCCTGGTCCCTCAGTGAGAGTCCATCAGTCAGTCAGTCCGTCTGTCAGTTTTGGGTCTTGTGCTTTTTCGGGGGAGGTGTGAGCTGCGCGGGGGTGGGGGTGGGGGGCTGCTAATGCGACGTGCAGGTATCAAAGCGACGTTTGAAAAATGAAATTAAAAATTGTTGTTGATTTAAGCGCAAAAAAGGAAATGGATAAAGCGGAAAAAAACCTAGGAAAAATACAGTTTTTGGGGCAGCCAAAAACGAAGTGAAGATACTCTTTGGGATGGGCAGCAAATGGCTCCAATTGAAGGTACAGAGGACTCGGATCTCAGCGATAGATTCATTAGCCAAGCTCCTCTTTGAAAGAGCTCCTCTCTTGTACCCAGAAAAGGGACCTCCACACTGTTTTGGGGGATACAGAGGCCCTTCTTTCCATGGCTATAGTCTCCATAGTTTCCCCCTCTTCATCGGTGACAAGCCTCTTGTCCTAGTCCCACGACCTCCTTCTGTAGAGTGCCCTGTAGCTCGCCTCAAAATCTAATTTTCTAATGAGACAAAGAGCCTTCGTTTCTTTAGCTCTTCAGGTCTTTCAGGAGGGTGCTCTCTGGCATTCCAGGGAGTCAGTCAGGTCTCTCTATTAGAGCCTGGCTGATTCCCTGAACTGTCATTCATTAGGCCAGAACATGCTTCTCTTGTTGTTGCTGTCTTCATTAGACCTGGCCTGGGCTTCAAAGTAAGTTCGGAAAATCTAGTTCTCTGCCGGTTGCCGGTTGCCGGGTCCGGAAATTGCTTTGGTTTTTGGTGGCGCCACATGTCACCGGCCAGCGCGAACCGAGACGAAACCTTGAAGGACTTCTTCTCGGGCTACGGGATGACCTTCGGTCTGTTGCTCATATTCATTATAAGCCCAAATAACTGTTGTTTGTTGCCCGAACGAGTGGCAAGTGTCAAAATACCAGGCCCCAAAGGGAGGGCGCCCCCCCTCCCCTTCCCCTCCATCCATCACACGTCACCTCTTTGTCTCTGTCTCTGTCTGGCTGGCGCCTTCTGGTTTTCTGCTCAATTTGTTCTGGCCTCCCCCCCCCGTCCCCCCGACCACCTTTCGGGGGCTCGGGTTACCAGTTGCAGCTAACTGACTGGCTTTTTGGCCGAGGGTTATGCGATTTGGCCAGGTCTCTGCTGCTGCTCAAGTGTCAGCCGAGAAGCGAAACCCTAGTGGCGTCCGGCGACAGTTGGCCCTGGCTCACGATTATCCCCTCTCTCTCTCTGCCACCTCTCTGGCCCGCTCTGTCCCTCTCTACCCCTCTCTGCCCCTTCTCTGCCCCCTCTCAGACCCTCTCTGCCCTTCTCTGTCCCTCTCTGCCCCTCTCTGCCCCTCTCCTCACCGTCCAATAGGCGTACTTTTTGCTGTAAATCAATATCGACGCTTTGTGGTCAATCAAAATGTGATTTTTTTGTTCGTAGCCGTCATGTTATCTTTTAATGTGGGATACCCAGGGGTGGCAGGGGCATTTCTGGCCATAGAAGGCAGGATATAGCCACCAACTGGAAGAAAGGTGGGCCCCAGGAAGATCCTCAAGCCTTGAGATATGAGATCTCTTCTGGATATCCTTTTGCCTGACCCTTCCACACCTCGATCTCCGTTTCCCCTCAACCCTTATTCCAAAGTTTTTTTTCTCAACAACAAGATTTTATCGTTATTAATTAATTTTTATAATATACGAAATGCTGTTTAAGACAAAAGAAAACTCATAATGGCATTAATTTATTGAAAAATATCATAAAAATTGAATGGCAAAAACAATGTCATAAATAATAATTAATGCCACTTAATGTACACACTGGAAAAAAAAAAAACTGAAAAAAAGTTAATATAAATAAAAAGGCTGGACATAAATCTGGGAAGAGCGTGGGGGGGGGGGGACAGACAGTTGCCTATAAAAATGGTTTATAAGTCTATAAAAACCAATTGTTTGCATTGTCCGTAATTGCATTAAAAAACAGCGCCAGGCGACACTCCAATAAATATTGATCGTACGCACAAAAAAGACAAAAAAAAAAAGGAAGCAAAACCCCGCCTCGAAATCGAAGTATATAAATTTTTAATTTCAGATTTAACGCGGCACATAGAATGTAATTAAAACAGAATCTGATTAAATAAAAACAAATTAAGTGGTTTGTAAATAAATTGAAAAGTTAGTCGCAGGCCACAAAAAAAAAGAAGAACGAGTGTAAATAAATTTTTGTGGCTTTTGTTTGTGTTACAGAAAATCCATATCGCATATAATACATTAATAGCATAAACCAATGGTTAATACAAAAATCGAGCCTGCTGTGGAGGGCCGCATCTTTGCCCAATTTCGAGGAGAACTTTCAGCACTTAGGGCGGGCAAAGTTAAGATAATATTGTGACAGGCAGCAGCCCCAATCCCAGACAACCCTCCCTCCCCCCCCTAGTCTGGCCACCCCACGGGGCATATCCACAGACCATCCACAGACATTTGTCTGTCTATTTTCCTATGCAAATCGAACCGGAAGTGGAAATGGAGGTGGAAATGGAACGTTAGACAACCCTTTGCGCATTATTCGTAAATCTAAAAATGTTTTCTTTTGCTTTGCTTATTTTTTAATTGTTAAGTTTTTATTTCCCCCTCCACCCTCCCACCTTTCGACCCTTTCGAGCCCCTTTCGAGCCCCTTTCGAGCCCTGCCAAAAAGTTCAACGAAGTATGTAAAGTTCTTCTTCACGAAAGACGCTGTCGAGCTGCTTTGGCATTAAATTTGTGTAAATGGATTTTGCTAATGGATCCAATAATTCATTTACAATTTTA